GTTGTGTCGAGAAATAACCTTGAACTGGCCGTGAAATATTACATGATGTAGGTGATTAGATAAAAAATGTATAATAGGCATGAAAATTATTAACAATCTTAATTTTCGCTGAATATGAGTTCTCGTTGACTAGGCAGTCAAATGATCGCTACTGCGACTACTAACTGCCGATCTTGGATTCGAATAAAAGAAGAACAGTGCACTTTGATTAAAAAAAAAATAGCGTGGTGTTGTATGATAATAAGAGATTTACTAATGTTAGATATGGAACTCGTAAGGTGATAACAATAATATAATGCGTGCGTTCGTGCAGCGGAATTTTGTTGAATTTAAAGATTTTAATTATGCAGATATTTAGTGTATGACGTCGTATAATTGTGTATGGTAAAAAAAAATTTGTGCACGCAACCATTGTGGAGAAATTCACCAAAAACTGATTCCGCTGGGCGAACGTTGTCCTGGCGGAACTTTTTTTAATCCATAGAATTTAGAAGAAAAGAGATGTATCCAAAAATTTGTGTGTATTTGTGTGTAATTGTGTATGTATGAATAAAACTAGTGCATGCATAAACTTCGGAGAAATTCAAGTTTCCGCTACGCGAACGTTTGGCCCTTAGCTAGTTTTCATATAAAGCGCTTACATAGAGAGCTGTAGATTTTTACATACGTTGTTTTGAATTTGTGTATATTTGTTTAAAAAACAGATTTAGAAAAAAACGTAGGGTTTAAAAGATAAAAATATAAACGTAAAATACGCTTATTAGGTCTTAGTTCTAAAAGTATGCACTTTAAGGTCTAGATTTTCACGTTTATACAAACCTTGTAAGTGTCTGCAACATGTTGCCAAGTATCAATGATGTTCCGTTAGTAATTAAATAGTTATAGGACAAATTTACCATGAATAGATCACTGTTTACAAAGCAGTCAAATATCACGACGTTCTAAATGAATTGCATGGTAAAATGTATGCCAGTAATTAGTGTATTCATTCAACTATTCACATGCATAATTTCATGTCATTTAATTCAGTAATTAAAGAAAAACAATTATAATACTGACGAAGCATCGAAAACCTACATAACCCGACCAAGTTCGGATGGCTACAAAAAAGCGGCCGTGCCATATATCTAAGAAACGTTCTTAACTTTCCAATATAGCATTTATTAATATGGTACAGTAGCGTACACAAGCGTTAGGAAAAAATAAAACACAGTATCGTACACACGCTCGTGCATGCCTAGTCTATTGGTTAAATAGTGTAATAAAAATATTGGTTAAATAGTGTAATAAGCTACAATATGATAAATATTTACCTAAACAGTAGTACATACTTACATGTGATAAATATTTAATTTCCCTAAGGGGTCTATAGTTAGAATCCTGATCCGTGATATCTTCAATAGAAATTAGCAGTATGAATTTTATTTGTCTTAAATATAATTAGATTATATCTCAAGTCTCAAGCGCATACTTAAATAAAGTACCTACGTAAATAGTATCTACTTTCTGTCATAGTCAAATACATTTAAAAAAGTAGGTGTCCAAAAATAAATGACCTATAAATTATTTCGAAACAACAAGTGTGTTATCACCTGTACCAATTCAATACCGGTATTATACTGTAAATTTTGGGATGTTACCTAAATATATTGCACAGCCGCTTTTTTGTAGCCATCCGAACTTGGTCGGGTTATGGAGGTTTTCGATGCTTCGTCAGTATTATAATTGTTTTTCTTTAATTACTGAATTTAATGACATGAAATTTTGCATGTGAATAGTTGAATGAATACACTAATTATTGGCATACATTTTACCATGCAATTCATTTAGAACGTCGTGATATTTGACTGCTTTGTAAACAGTGATCTATTCATGGTAAATTTGTTCTATAACTATTTAATTACTAACGGAACATCATTGATACTTGGCAACATGCTGCAGACACTTACAAGGTTTGTATAAACGTGAAAATCTAGACCCTAAAGTGCATACTTTAAGAACTACGACCTAATAAGCGTATTTTACGTTTATATTTTTATCTTTTAAACCCTACGATTTTTTCTAAATCTGTTTTTTAAACAAATATACACAAATTCAAAACAACGTATGTAAAAATCTACAGCTCTCTATGTAAGCGCTTTATATGAAAACTAGCTAATGGCCAAACGTTCGCGTAGCGGAAACTTGAATTTCTCCGAAGTTTATGCATGCACTAGTTTTATTCATACATATACAATTACACACAAATACACACTAATTTTTGGATACATCTCTTTTCTTCTAAATTCTATGGATTAAAAAAAGTTCCGCCAGGACAACGTTCGCCCAGCGGAATCAGTTTTTGGTGAATTTCTCCACAATGGTTGCGTGCACAAATTTTTTTTTACCATACACAATTATACGACGTCATACACTAAATATCTGCATAGTTAAAATCTTTAAATTCAACAACATTCCGCTGCACGAACGCACGCTAATATAATGGCGATCTAGAGACGTGTCAATAAAATGAACAAAGGTGGATTATAAAATGAACAAAGATGGGCCCTAACAGGGCTGATGTTGCCGGGTTGTGCGGTAAGAGCGGTACCTACGCCTGAAGCAGGAGGTGAATATTAGTCAGTAAGAGTCTGACACAGTCATATGTAATATTGTTCTCGTCCCACCCATGGCGATAGAAACAATTTGATTATTTTCCTCCATCAAAAGAATTTTGGTTATAGGTCGGCAAACGAGCAGACGGATTACCTGATGGTAAGCAATCACTGCTGCCCATGGACAATTGGACACCCGCAACAACAGAAGAGTTACGAGTGCGTTGCCGACCTTTAATTTTGGGCATTAGGGATTTATTTTATTATCCTTATAAAGATTTGAGATTTGTAGATACTTATAGATTCCCACCTTCCCATTTTTCTTGCAAAGAGTGGTGTTGTAAAAAATACGCCTAAGTCGTTATGTCTGTTTTTATAGGTCACTTACAGCATCATTGGTTGACTAATCAAAAGCACCTCACAAAAGGCCTGGGCTCGGGTTCCTGTAGGTAAGGTATCTACTACAATGTTATCTTTAAGTGAGCAGTTCTTTCAAGTGGGTGAGAGCATACTTCACGAATGGGACGAATAGGTCGACTGAACCGGAGTAATACCACGGTATCACAAAATACCGGCGTGAATAGCCCACAGCGTTGTGTTTCACCTTGTGAGTGAGATTACTGAAGGACTACCAATCCCTCCCTTCCCCTAATTCCTCCCAAATCCCAAAATGTCCAAATCCCTAATCCCCAAAAGATCGGTAACGTAAAGGTCGTAACGTAACTCCTGTATCGTTGTAAGTGTCCATTGGCGGTACTAATGGCTTATACCATCAGGTAATCCGTATGCTCGTTTGCCGTGCTATAACATAAAAAAATTAGGTTAGTGGGTAGATAGGTACCTATACCTAATCTGAATTGAAACCGGCTAAAACAATTTTCATAATGTATAACGGAGTTTTCGGGGGCGATAAATCCACCTAGCTAGGATTCATCATCATCATCATCATTAGCCGTCTACTGCTGAACAAAGGTCTCTTCCTTAGTCCTCCACGTCGAACGACAGAGGCAAACAAAAATAACCTAAATCGCAACTACACATTTGTGTACTCTCTTCATGAATCTACAAATGAATAGTGTGCTAAACAAATCGGCACAAGGCGGGGCGTGAAGTTGCCACCTGCATCTTAAGTCGCGATAAGACACTGGTCTTATCGCGACTTTGACGATGTCGTCTGTTTTTTTTTGTTTATCTGTTTCGTCGATCTTACCTAACTCATCGGAGAAAAAAAAACGCGATGTCTTGCTTATGCGCACCCTATACGCACGGTTGTTATTATACAAACAAAACTTCGTGAATCAGACTTTTTTCTAAAGAAACCGTTGGGTCTCGAAGCACAATGGATAACTGCATTGCATGACTAAATTTACAAGAATACCTACTTTTTTCATGCTCGAATTGTATAGGTAGGAATTAGTATACAGTTTAGTTTATTGACGAAGCACAACAGTCAGTACCCCCGTTACTGAATTTCAATCATGTTAAGCTCATGAAACTTGCCATCTCATCTTAGGATGTTTCAGTGAATGACAGATATCAACTACTGACTTGCGTGCAGAAATTCGATTACCGTATTTATGTAGGTACCTCTTAAGTCAGTCGGGGTTGCGGGGCAAGCTTAACAAGGTAGCACCGCTTCGGTCTGGAGCTGGTGAAGGAACGAGGTGGTTTTAGTCAGTAAGAATTTGACACACGCTCTTAATTGCCTCACCCTGGGGGAGCGAAGTCATTTGATGATTTTCTTCCTCAAAGGTAACCTACCACTTAAGTGTTCGTTAAATCTAGTAATTACTTGTAGCTATCTACCTTATATTTAATGGACTGTAGCATTATTTTACTGTCAGGTAAACTCATTAAAATAAATCAGTTCTTGATATTTACATATGGACGTAATCCGGTAATTAAATAATCTAGCCTAGCAGATCTCTGGGTATTTTTTAACTCATCGGAAGACGAGTTATGTTTTTGCAACAAAACCCAAAATATTATAATACTTAAAAGAAGTGAATAACTTGCTTAGATAACTACAGTTATAGGAATGAGGTACGCGGAAAATGATTGTTAAGAAGTAGTAAGCTGATACCTAGGTGCTAGGTGATAACGTAAGTATAATGAATCAATGACCTTCTAGTCAACGTCCCGTTTAGGCTCCATTGACCTCGATCGGCTTGTCCTACAGAACGTCCGCGTGCTTCTAGTTCCATAATGTCATGTCATGGACGCGCCAGCCAGTTGTTCGACTCATTGTTCCCACAACAGCTTCTGTGGTTCCTGTCATTGTGCCCAGATCCACCGTGAAGTCCAACACGATTTTCAACGATATAAAACTGTTTATAACATTCAACTCCCGCCTATTGTAAGTTGTACCGTTTTACTGGCAACACCTAACTTTAGACGTGAGATGAGATGGTGCTCCGGTATAAATATTGCGTTGGTTGGTTACTTTGTGTGCTATTATTAGTTTCGACTATCAGTGGATCAGCGATCAAAGATGCGTTGGAAGAACATCTGAAAGACATCGCTCATGACGAAGGATTGGAGTCCATCAAGCATGCTAAACAGAAAGGTGAAAAAATACATCAAGAAGAGAGCCAACTAAATGACAACCATAAGAACCAGTATTCAAAGGCCAATGATGAAGCAAAGTACCTCAAGAAAGAGCACGATACGAAATCGTCATCTGAGGGCGACGCTTATAAGGGTTATAATAGCAAACATGACAAAGCCGAGGATAGTGAAGCGACTGGTTATAAAAGAGGCCACAAGAAAGGACACCACAAGCAAGGGTTTCAAAATTCATACCATAAAGACGAATCATCCAATAAAAGCACTTATTTTGATGATTTAACCGACGAAGGCGATCAAGCTGCCTACAACAGCAGACTTAACTCTCACGACAACCAGGGAGGCAGGAGCTACCATGGATCTCACAACAATGGTCAGGAATATGTAAGAGATAACTATAACGGTGGAGGCTACAACCGGTACGGCGACACAGGTGTAAAGCAACATGGTCATCAAGATTATGGCAAGAAATATTATTTAGACGACAATTTAAATCACAATAAGTACAGAAACACACATAACGATTATGCCCGGGATAAAATTCACGATCATCATGAATATCGAGCGCCACAAGTTCACCATCATGATCCTGGTTGGGATTGGCAAAGATGGAACGATAAAAGAGATTGGGATCGTCCCGGATGGCAGAGGGATCCAGGCTGGGAAAGGGATCCCGGTTGGCAGAGAGACCCAGGCTGGCAAAGAGACCCTGGTTGGCAAAGAGATCCTGGTTGGCAAAGAGACCCTGGATGGCAGAGAGACCCTGGATGGGAGAGAGATTATGGTGGCCCTGGGTACTATGATGATAGGGGTCTTCGTCATGAAGGAGGTTATGGTTACGGCCCCAATCACGGTTACGGTTATGGCTATGATGAATCTCGGTCAGCTCCAGTCGCAGAAATTCCGAAAAATGCGCCCGTAGTCGCACATAGAAAGCAGACGATAACCATTTATGAAGACCCGAGATATGATGGTAAGCAAACCGGACAGCTCAGGAAAGAAGAAGGAGATTATCTTCAGCTGGATTTCAAACCGAGCAGCCACCGATATGCTAGTTACGATGATACTTATTACAATGTCCCTGTTTCACGAGAAGGTGCGATGGAAGCTAGCAAAATTAATAAATTAGTTTACAATTATAGAAGACAGTAGTCGATTGGAAATTTGAAGATGCTTTCTAGAGATACTCATTAAATAACTTGTAGTGATTTCTAACTTTAAGTTATTTATTTATGAAGTATTTGGAATCCTAGTAGCGTAGTTTGTTTTTCTTTTTTTTTATTCTTCACTAATGATGATGTGTCGTTTACTGTACCAACATATTGTAGATAGAAAGGGTTTAAAATAAATAGTAAGCTGGGTAGAGGTACCTACTTTGTAAAGCCATTGTTCTCATTTTTAAATCTTGCGATTTAATTATGTCAACAGGCTGGACTAAGGGTTGGGAATTGGTTGTGGGTAAATTTATAAATGCAAGTTATTTATTCAGTATTGTTAATAGCAGTGTTAGAAATCTAAGAATTTATTAAGTAAGTAAAATTTTATCTATGTATTGTAACTACAGAAAATTATACATTTCGTAGAACATTTGGTATTTCATTTCTTCAAATATTCGAGATCAGAAATATTAAATATGAGTATTGACAGATTTCCAGTGAAGCGTGCAAGTCAAATAGGTATCACTTTGAAGGGATTCCTCGGGGCAGTTGCTACGTGACGGACGGACGGTCAGTTGGGCGGCGTATTTCAATATGCTACATGTGGCACGGCTGAGCGGACCGGGCTTTCGACCGTGACGGCACCAGGAGCGTGCTAAATCGGTGTCACTGGTCCGGGGCTAAGCTGTTTGCCATAATTTTACGGTTATCGTTATTGTTTGCTACTAATAATAAAATACGCTGAGATATTTTGAATTCCTGCCTAATAATCAGTTTTTTTTTATTATAGTATAAGCAAGTATCTATAGTAAATAAAGGTTTGATAAACTTTTTTTATAAAAAAATCAGGAAATAAACAACTGTGACTATATGCATACATGTTCATTTACATCAAATAAAGTTTATTCAAGTGGCATTATGTGCTACCTCGGATGAGTCACGGTACCTACCGTTAACGTGGCGTGATTTCTTGCAAAATTCACAAAACTCAAGGGTGTCTTTGAGAATAATTTCTACCATAATTCCGAATTAAGTCGCTTTATTACCCCTTCCGCTTTAATTAAAAGACATCGTTATTGAGCCACTACCCACTCGTAGATATTTTTCAGTGCTTTTATTTGTAATTTAAATTTTGCAACCCTTAGTCGCGGTTCCGCTTTGGGGGAATAAACTAATTTAAACGTTAAGCTCCGGACAAAGTCTCGTTTTATAATATGTATGGTCTGGGCAACATTTTAAAATTGGATTAGACCAGCGTGCATCCGAAATAAAGACTCGCTTGTTTTTGTATTTTTTCTCTGGATAATTCAGTTGTTTTCAGAAATGGGGTAATTTATTTTGAATTTCTAAACCCGGCTTACAATGTGCGAGCGTTTTATACTTTTTTTTATTAAGTATTACATATTTATGTATGTATTATAAAAGCTACGATAACCTACCTAGTTAGTTATAATGAGCTATTGATAACAAATACTACTGCATAACTTTTAAATTCCAACTTAGATAGGTACACTTTGCCTTTACGACGTAGATACCTTTTTTATGTAACAGGTCGGCAAACGTGCAGACGGATTACCTGATGGTAAGTAATCAGCGCCACCTCTGGACACCCACAACGGAGGAGTTACGAGTGCGTTGCCGACGCGTTGTTAGTTAGTTACGAATGCGTTTTAGGGATTAGGGATTTCAAGATTTAGGGATTGAAATTGGAATTGGGATTGGAAGATGGGGGGTGGGGAAGGATTGGGCCTCCGATAACCTCACTGACACGGCGAAACACAACACTGTGGTTATTTCACGCCGGTTTTCTGTGAGGCTGTGGTATCACTCCGGTCGAGCCGACCCATTCGTGCCGAAGCATGGCTCTCCCAAACTTCACACCTCATGTACATACATAGTTTACCTAAGTACAAAGGATACGATAGAATCTAATGAATTGTTATCAAACTTATTAGTCATCATACTAACTTGTACATAATACTGTACAACAAAAATTGAATAAAAGTATTTCATTAAAATTGAGTACTTAATTTTAGACGTGCCATTATGCCTCAAAAGATAATTTATTTAGGATAATAATGTATCATTTTATCAGTACCTGTCTAATGGAGTATTTCCGAAAAACGTTAGTAGTAATTGAATGGTTTTATTATGTTAGTTTTTGATTTGACTGCAGATAAAATAGATGACAGTATAAATATACTTAGTCATACTAGTAGCTTGAATAATTTGTACGATAGGGCTATACTCGCTGGTTGAATATTTTTCATTGGTGTCTTTACAATAATGTCCAGTTCTGCAAATGTTTGTGTGTTCCTGTTATGGATGATTGTTCATGATAATCAAGTAAGTTAAGAGAAAACTAGCTTATATTTTCAACTCGATACACACAAATTAACCGCGAAATATGGGAGAGCCCTGCTTTGACACGTAAATGTACCTAGTTATGCCGCAACTTCACAGAAAATCTTCGAGATGCAAATATGTTACGTAGTGCTAGTGAGGTTACTGAAGCTCTAGTCCTTTTTTCCCCCATTCCACAATCCTCCAATCTGCATTATCCCTAACTACTCCTAAAAGGCGGCAAGAAACTTGTTACTCGTCGGTTCGGACTCAAGCCCATGGGTGGCGCTGATTGCTTACCATCAGTGACACGCCTGCTTGTTTGCATATCCATAAAAAGGAGAATATTGTTATTTTCTGAAATATTTATAATGCTTAATTGCATGAGAATACTGTGCATAGAAGAATAATTAATCAAGCCTTCTCTTTCAGTGTCTCAGAATAATACCAGAACGCACTGACATCGTTTTTTACAACAAGACCTACGTTGAAGACACTCCCACATTCAACGTGAGACGCAACGCTCGTAAAGGGGACTATGTTGTTAATTTAAAATTCGAAACTAAGGTTAAGTTTGGAAACGAAGTGCTGGTAAGGCGTTGGCAGTTTTATTAAAACAAAAAGGTTTTGCGATGCATAACGGATTTTTCAGTAGACAGGGCAACAACAATTTTCACCTAAACTAAAAAAAATATTGTAGGATAGTGTAAAAGAAAACATCGCGAGGAAACCTAGACATATAATTTCTAATTATAAGTTTGAAATCGCCAATCCGCCTTGAGCAAGCGTGGTGATTAATGCTCAAACTCGAAGTGAGAAGAGGCCTTTGCCCAGCAGTGGGCACTAATAGGCTGATGATGATGATGAAGTATTGTAGTAGAATATCATCTGATATCATAATTATGAATGCCGAAAAACGGTAAAAAGTTTTTATTGCTCTAAAATATAATTGTATTTTACCATATGTGTCATTCTATATTTTGTTCATAGGTGGATATTGTGTTCTATCAATTTCTTAACAACGAGTTCAAGAGATCGTTTCCTGAGATGCATTACAAGTTATGTGATCTTATAAACGAGGACCCTTATATTGGAGATTCCATAAGAGAAGCTGGTTTGAAAAGTTGTCCCATCGTACCGGTCAGTATCTTTTTTAAAACTGTATATAAATAATTGTAGTAAGTAGGTTAAGAATTAATTACTAGGAAAACTCTCGTTACTTGAAAAGAGAGCAATACCTATATAGGCAAAGAATTTTGTCTATCTGCACACAGAAATGCCTACATAAAATATAATATAATTATAAAATAAAATAAAATAAATCCGTAATGTCAGTCGGTATATAATGGATTTGCATAGCGTAGTACGTAGTACCTACGTACAATTTCCATATCGAACAGATTTTTTTTAAATACTCAGTTCGAAAATTTATGTGCATTTTCAATAATAACTATTGATGGGTACAAAATACCTTACATCTCTTACATCTTTAAACTTAAGTATCCTATTCTTAAAGATAATTAGCTCGAATTATTTAAAAAGAAGACTCAATTTTATTTTGAATTGGTATTATTTTTCTTTTCAGGGAAAATATGCTTTGATGAACATTGGCTTCAATCGCATCATACCTTCTGTGTGGCCGTTTGAAAAAGGTATGGTAGAATTCACCATAAGCCTTACAGATCCAAAGGCCATTATAGGTAAAGGCCAACTGGTTACTACTTTCAAGGAAGAACGCCCCAAGAAAAAACATAACAAATAATAATTATTTATTGTATCTCTATAATGGGTGAAATAAAATACGTTTATTTACATTTATAGACTTAATTTTTTTTGTAATTTCATGCATTATCAATATATAAACTCACTAGCTTTTGCCCGCGACTTTGTTCGCGTGGAGCATTATTTCCTGCAGATTTTTTGTTTAAAAACTATCCTATGTCCTTTCACGAGTTCCAAACTATGTCTCTACCTAAGTTTCACACAAACAGGTTCAGTAGTTTAGGCGTGACAAAAAGACAAACAGACAGACAGAGTTACTTTCGCATTTATAATATTAGTTTGGACATTGGCAGAATTCATGCAATAAATATTTACTAATCAAAAACACAGGGTAGGACATTGTTTCCGTTTACTCGAACAAGATACTTTTTTCGAACGTTTTTTTTTCATACATCCTAAATAGGATTCTAGTGTTCCATATTCATTCGTAGATTTCCATGAAAATACAAAAAGGATTTCATCAGTCGAAATTTCGTAATTAAATGACAAGTGGATCTATCAGAGATATGCATATTAGCAGCCAATTTGCAATTTAAAAAAATAAAACCACTCCAAAACGCTTTGTGGTGAATTGGTGACAACGGATAGTCTCTGTATTTAGTTTATTTCGACATCTTGAATTAATTGAGGATCGCTCGGTTTTAAAATCCTTTGTTTTGGACTTGAGTGGTTATAGTTCGAAATAGCAAACTGTAGTGGATAAATGACTTGATTAAGTGGAGTCTTCTCTCATGAGTTTATGTTTCATTCAAGAATGGGGCCTCCAGACTAAATTATCAACAGATTATTTCCTCTGCGAAAGAAGTGTTAGTGACAGAAATCCCAATAAGACATTCAGCCCTTTGCATTATTTTCCAGTCAGTCCTTCGCAAGTTTGCGAAAACCGTTCCCCACGCAACAGAGGCCCACTAATCACCTTCAAACTAATCACCGTGCCCTCACTTTTTATAGCACTTACTAACGACTTGTCTTAGCACTAAAGCAATTTCAAAATGGCACCCGAATAACACGCCAATAATCGTTAGCAGCGATTGGAAAACAAAACTGTGATTATAGGGTATTATCTAGGATTTCCCCTCTCTTTCTATTTCGTTTGTAAAAGTAATGTCGTCTCATTTGTCTCGTGAGGGGACGAGATAGAGTGACATTACTTTAACGAACTTTCGATGGTCCACAACGGGATGGGGTTCAACATTTTCTTGTTAGTTTTCATCCGATAGAGCTTAGCTTTGTATAATTGCATACAAATTGTGTTTGGATAAGGGGAGGAGGTTATCTTCTACATTATTTCAATGATTTATTTTTGTTTTGGTATTGATTTTACGTCAAAATTCTATTTTTCAATTATTTTTGTTATTTTTAAAAGTATCTAATGTTGTTTATGAAATATTTTTGTACCAGACACCGTCTCAAGTCCTATCAGGCAAGTGAAGTTTGCTTGCGAATTAACACGGGTAGAAAATCTCAACATACAACTTTATGGGCAGTAGCTTGCTAGGCCGGTTACTTCGCCTGTTCGGAGGATCCAACTTTTTTTTAAAAAAAAATTTACTCTCAATTCCATTTTTTTTCTAAATTATGATTTAATTTTTAAGTGTCAAACAACACAAACTCGTCAAAACTGCAAAGTAATATTCAGTTCCTACTGTCGTATAATTTCTAATACTTAGGTACTAATGTCTGCAACCATTTGCTTAGTGAAACAGTAGTCACTTCATTGAACAAATCGTAGCCGTCGTATCTGAGGCTTATTTTCTAAGCAGTCAGTTAGTCGCCACAAAGTTGGTGGAACAATGAACGCGAACGCAACTCTCTCCGTTATCTCTGACTGTTTATTGTCTGAACTTGGCTGGATGGCCGTTTTGTTACCGATTCCCCGGCAACTCGGTTTAGGTGAACAAGTTAGAGGAGCGCGGTGCCGTTTAGATTTTACGATTGGATTACGATCCGATGTCTTGTGTGAACGATTTTTTTCGGGAGAATTTTCTGCGTGAAAATTTGATTATGGTAAAGGATAAAGTGTGGCAGAGCCATGTTTCGGCATGAATGGGCCGTGTGAGTAAAGGTACTGGAGGCTAAATTCTCTTCCCAATCCTCTTTCCTTAAATCGCGAACAACCCACAAGAGGCCACTTGTAGTAACTACTTTAGTATTACGAACCACAGGACATAAAATGGATAATCTAACCAACTTCCTTTTTGCATAAATTAAAAGTAAAAATTATTTTTAATTTTTCAAAAAATAAATTGATATGTACTTATCTATTGAGTGTCGATTTGACTATGCTAGAATGAAATCTAATAAACATGAGGATTATACCATACCGAACTGTTTTTGATAAAATTAATAATAAACAGATAAGTATGTACTTACAACAAATTCAAATGACTAAAAAACGTAATGCAAAACAAAGATTTTGTCTCCTAATTTGATTCCACGAGTCGTGGTGTGTAATAAAGACAAAATTCAAAGGGGTACTCATTCACTCGTGACGAATCCATTGCCTGTAGCTAACTAATTGGTATAAAATGAACCGCTCCCGTGGGATGTTACCCCGATTTTGTTTTAATCGAAATTTTCTGCGCAAAGTGTCGGCTGCGGGATGAATTGTCACAATTCTCAACATCCAATTTAACATTGCGCTTTGTTAAACATAATTTACGATGTTAGAAACACCGACTTTTCCTCCCCATTTTATTAAGAAGAAATTAAGAAGATACTTCTTGAGGTACAAGGCACAAAAGGGTTATTAAGGGCTTCGATACTTTCTTGTGGTTTCTTATTGTAAACACTTAATTTTTAATATTCATTCTCTTTTTGAAATTTCAAAATTCTTTTGGTATTCATAAATCTTTTGTTTTTAATTTAACTTTTACTTTTAAACATTTAAGAATCGAATGCTTACGAAGAAAGACTAAAGTTAAAAGGATTCTTTATGACGGGGGCTAAACGTCCTAAATTACATTTAAAATATATTTAGGTACCTACTTATACTTTACTTTACCGTATTTAACTTTTTTTAATGATGTGTGAATTTACAATCCCATGGGGATTGTGCCCAGACTGGTAGAAATTGCCGCTGTTACCGCAAACCTTAGGACTTCGTAACAATTAGAATGACCAATAAATAATGTCAGCATACATTCGTATTGTAAACGTCAGCTGTTCACGGCTGACAAGTTACAGGTTGCAGGTTGGCTAGTGTTTACAATGTTCCACAAACAGCCTTCAGGTGAGTTATGGCGGTCCCTGTGTGCAGTTTTGCTTATTAACGAGACCAATATGGCGGCGTTTGATAAGATTTTGGTTTGTCTTGGCATTCGTGCCTCGAAGCCGCCTCCGGGCATTTGGAGCTGAGGCCACTGTAGACTGTAGGTGGAGAGTGTGACCATTGGGATGTGTGCTCTACTTTGGAAATTAATTCGTCTATAATGTGTCTTAAGAATTTGTTTGAAGTACACCTTTTTTGTCTTATTTTATTAATTAACAATTACTAACTTGTGAAGAATAAGAAGAAAGCTTGTCCTTTCTCAGTAGTAATTTGTATCTAATAGCAGTAAAACTTACCAAACTGTTAAATATGTTATACCTAATGTGAAATTGATATTATCAAATTATTAAGTTTTTGATTTTGACAGGGAAGTAGGTTTATGGGAATTCTGCCTGTCGGGGGTTACGGTGCTCGTGAAATAATGAATCGCAGCCACGATCTGGTGTAGATAAAAACGGGATTAATTTTAGTTACTTGGAGTCTGATACTCTTTTATGTCCAAACCAGGACGGAATAAAATACAGGATGGTTTTACTCTTAAAAAAAAGGTGCAAGGTGCTATACACAGATACACAGAAACCAACACCAAAAACACCTATATATAACAGACTAGAACACAACTATGTAGATATGACCATAAAGATATTTCAAGTATTCGAAATTTATTATAGTAGAGCAGCTTACCAGTCGTGACACTAAGAAATTTGCTTGCAACGTGTAAGGCGCGCGCGACGCATAACTGTAGCCAGGCGCAAATCGCCCGCCTGCTTCGGATGACTGGCGTGACGTATGTACACTATGCACTATACACGATCATAGTATACATGCTACACAAGTATTTCACACCTTGTTACATGTTACATAAGGGTGAAATTTCTAGAAACTATACAATATTCCAAAAAAATCTAAGTAGGTAAGTATAGAAGATGTTTGAAATTTAAAACTCGTAACTCTTAATTATAACAATTTGTATTTCCTTGTTCTTATTTACACTGTTTTTGTGGTTTAGTTCTAGTTCTAAATCAGTATAAATGAGATTTAATGGTACTTTAAATAACAATTTTGAGATACTTAGCAACCAAAAATTCGTCACAAGACGGATAGGACAGTGTTGTGAATAACTTCTAGTTAAACTTACTTTCACAAAATTTCTTCTAGCTACATGTAAACCGAACATCGTGCATGTGTGTGTTATAATATAAAAAATAACTGTTAAATAAATATAATAAAGCACTTCGACTATCTCAAAAAAAAATATCTACACCAAATATACTGAACATAATCGTTCACTGTAGCAAAAAGGAAGCATATAAACAAAGGATTTGCTTTAAAAGCAGTAACACGCTTAATATAATAAATATTTAAGGCTGTTAAACAACAACACGCCCAAAAGTAAACATTTTGGAGGCTCGAAGGAGGAGCTTATTACGGTAGGCTTAGCCAAGCCGTGTTATCTCGACAAAGTTCAGAATTTCCAAGCGCCTCGAGCTTTGCGCAAAATATGAGACGCTAGGAAACTTTGTATCGTCGACGCTTGACAATGAAATACCGGCGTCATTATCATACTATACATGGAATTTATTGCGTTTTTGGTATTTATTGTCGAATATTTTGTGTGTGTTATGTAAGTAGTAGGTTTTAACAATCTTGATTTAGAGATGGAGTATTTTTTCAACAAAGCGTAATTATTATTGATTCATCGATATTTTTTTGTTTTGAATATTAATATCGTTCTT